AGCAAAAATAGTCGGAAAGTGGACGGCCCTGGGCTGAGTTCTCATTGCTTCGAATGGGATCAGGCTTCAAAATTGGGTCGTCCACTGGGGTTTGTCATCGATGGTTCTGCAGACTATGGTGCTGTTCGCACCCAGGCTCAGCACACAAGTGAATGCCTCGTGAGCACTTGTCTCCAGGTTTTGCCTCTTGGCACCCTTGTGGCAAATTAAATGCCCAGCAAAGGCGCTCACCGGCCTTGGTCTGGAGAGCTTTGCCTATAAGGCCACGCGGAATGTTCGGGCCGCGCCCCTTCTTGTTCTTGCCGCCTTTTCCTTTGCCTTTGCCTTTGGATGGCGCTGGAGCAGGCTTCACAGGTGTCCTGGATCTTGTCCGCTTGGGCGCTGGAGCGGCAGGTTTCACTGCTGGCTTCTCCGGCTGCGATGATTTCAATGGTAGAGGCAGTAGATGGAAGCTAACTGCGGGATGGGCTAACACTTTGCTGATCTCATCCTCAAGTGGAAGTGTCCCGTGTTCATCCCTCTTCAGGGTGGTGATCTTCTCAGCAATGTGGAGCCATGCCGCTCGATCTGCTCTCAGCAACTGTGCCAATGAAACTTGAGAATAGCCGGGAGGTGCCTGCAAGTGCAAGTGATCAAAGAGCTCGGCATGATAGGAATTCATTGTATGATAACTACATGCCTTCACAAGATCGAAAGCGAGGGCTCTCCTTCTCATCGCATTCGTTGTGTCGAGCTCCGTGGTGGTGGCACAAATCAGGTCTTGGGTCTTGTCCTTGACAATGAGTGATGTCTGGTCGATTGCGATTTCCTTGGCCGACTTCTTCATTGCCAACTCACTCCTCCTCGTTGCGAATTTCTCAGGTGCAAGATAAACAAGTGAGTCCTTTTCCATCATGTTCAAGACAATGTCGTAGCTTTGATGTGAACACTCTTCCTCTCCTTTGAACCGGAGACCTTCAAGCCTTGAACGTTGTTCCTTGATGCGGTTGTCTCTTTCTGCAGGTGCGAGTTTGGATTTCACCTGCTCATCTGTTTTGTGGACTTTGTTTTGTAACTCCGCAGATAATAAGGTCTGGGCCTCAAATATCAAACGTTTCATGGATGCATAAGTCCCTGGGTTGGGCGCCACTTGTCCATTGAAGAGGCTATCGATTTGTTCGTTTGTGGGTGCGTCACCCGGGGGACATGCAGCGAATGCTAATCTTGCAAGTGAGTCAACTCTGTTGTTGATGAGTGCATTGACTTCGTCTGGTGTCAGGCTCACCTCCAAACCTCTGGATCGCAGGGCTTCCTTGGACTCAAGAAGCGTTCCCATGATGACGACACCGAAATGTTGAAAGGTGGTCAAAGAAATGTCGTGACTGACAAATCAAAAATGTGTTGTGGCATGTCTAAGTTCCATCGTGTGTTCACGTGTTGAAATCAAATCATCATGACATTCGACATTCAGAAAAATTCTTTTTTTTTTGAGCCTCGGTCACACACATGCGTTTCACTTGAAACTGTCAGTACCAACCGTGTGTGTTTGACTGAGATCTCACTTGTGTGTCTCTGGTCATACCAAGCACTTGCCCGGGGTCAAATCTGTCATGCAAAATATGTCTCATGATTTGACTCATTGAGGCACTTGCCTTCAAAAATACATGTATTGATCAGGCACGTGCCCGTGCACATGGTTTCCCACACCCACAACGCTCCCTTTTTTCTTTCTCATGAGCCAGTCGCCACTTCTTGACCGGATGCCATCTGTCCGACGGTCCTGATTGGCTTCGATATGGCGCAGCGCTTGCATTTCCGCAAGTCCAGGAATTGGGAGCTTTGGATGAGTTCGTAATCGCTGCTGATTTTGACTCCGCAGCTGAATATGTCAGCCCCTCCGTGTGCGGTTATGTGCACAATTTTGCTTTTCAGATTCCGGTACATGTCATAATCAGGGTCCCATGTCTTGGGGGCAACGACAGGGTCGTGCTCTATGGCCTCTTCTGGTTCGGATGCATCTGATTTATCGGAGTCTGTGGTCGAGGAGGAACTTTCGGATGATACTTCATGACCCTGATCTGGGATGGCAGGAACTGAGAAGACTGACTTAGGGTCTTCGATCAAACTGTCCTTGATCATTCCTGACCTGGTGGCATCAGGGGAAAAAGCCCTGGTTCTGATTTGTTGACGAACCAACTCGAATTCCCTCAAAGGCTTGGCCAAAACGTCCCTTGAGTAGCATTCTACCGAGCTCTTGCCTGTGGCATGATGCCCAAGGATCGCACGAGAATCCGGGTCTAATCCCCACTTTGCACACCAAGAAAGGGGAGTACCCTTCAGGGTGTGGATGGTTGTGAAATTTGCCCCGCTTTCCATTTGGCTTAGGAGATTCCTGATCCATTTGCCTGCCTCTTTGGTCGTGACCGATCTGCAAGACCATCCTCCATCAGCAGTGGGGGCCGCAAGAAGCGGTTCATGATCCAGTTGATCGATGTCACGTTGTGCCAGCTTGCATACTTTCAAAAAGGACAATCCCCAAGGGGGTGATGTAATCCCCCACACTGGTGCCGCTAGAGGCATGGAGATCCCGCCCTTAGCTACAAGTCTGGCGGTTTTGTGTGATCGGGTCCGGCATTCAAGGTATCCAGAAATCTTCCCATCATCTTCCGCAATGTCAGAAACAAAATTGTAAATTTTTCGGATGTCTGACCACCTGCTTCTGCTGTACAAGCAAAACAGCATGCAACCGCAGGCAACTCGGTCAGTGATGTCGGCTCTTTCGTCAGAGAGGAACGTCTCCAAGAACTCGACCTCCTGGACCGTAAGCACCCTGGCTTGCACTTTCTCTTTGCGGGTTGAGTCTTGTTTCTCAATGAGCCGCTTCACTTTTGCAGAAACTATGTCAGGTTGTCCCCCACAGACGTCCATTCCAACAACGTATTTGCAGAAATTGAGGCCCTCAACAAAACCTCTGAGGTTGGAGGCCGGTTTGTTTTCTGACACCAATTGCTGGACGAACTCATCAACAATACCAGTTGACAGCGGGAATGGACACAGGCCAAAATATCTACCTCTATACCACTTGACAAATTGCAGGATGCTGGTCCCTCGGCGGAGGACTGTGCCATGGCTCCTATTGCCGAAAAGAATCTGCATGTCTGACAAGCGATGTTCTCTGATTGCTGCACTGAGATCAAAACCTCTAGGCCAGGCCTCTCTGCCACTGGAGAAAATCATGTACCACTTTTCCAAAGCCCTGGTCATCGCAGCTTCCTCCACTTCCTGTTCAGTGAGGGTTGTTTCAAAGTTGATAACTTCGCTGTATACGCCTCTGACGGTCTTCCCAAGATGGTGGGGTGCTGCTCTTGATGATTGGCTGCTTTGTTCGGAAAACTCAATGGGTGTCATGACTGGCTCTGGGATGAGCTTAACAGGATCCCTATTGAAAATTCTGGCAAGCCCCTTGCGTTCCCAAGGCATCTGAAACTTAAAGGTCGGTTTGACCGATAGGCAGGCGTCGTCTATCATGGACTTCAAGTTTCTTCTATCCGTCTCGTTCAAGACTGCATGGCTATCTTCAGTGATCCCACGTCCGGCGGGAGAGTGGTCGGCGTACTCATCCCACTGAGCAGGACTGTCCCGACCAAACAGACTACTGTCTTCTGCAAAAATTTCATTGTCTGCGTCTAAATTTTCAGGCAAAGGCAACTGGACAGTCCTAGAGGTTATGGACTCAGGATCTGAATCGTTTTCGGCGTCAGGCGGGCGTTTGATTCCCCTCCTCATGCGTTGTTCGAGGACCTTCGGCCTGTGGTCAAATGAAATAAATCCCGAGAAAGATTGTATTGGAAACACAACTCAAAACTGGTGTCATGACGTCCTCAAGTGTCACGTGGATCAAACTCACGCAAGATGATTTCCAGACACCCTGAGAATGAGGGCGAGACCTCTACTATGAGTTCAAGGTCACTCGACCTGAACAGTCTGATCATCACTCATGCCGCAACAAAATAGTCGAGGAATGGTGTTCAGGTCACTCGACTTAGAACGCCCCGTCAACACTTGTCGACAGATACCATGTAATTAGATCATGTCGAAATCTGGTAGCACGAGGGCTGGGCCCACTCAGTGACATCCACCGGTCTTCAACCTGATTGTCCAGGAAAGCATGACATGACAAACGTCTCTGACGCAACATGTGATGATCAAATTCAATGCTTGGCAGAAAGAGCATCAAAACTTGTGACACTTGTCACGCCCTTCTGTGTCATGGAAAAACCAAGGATCACACCGTGAGAAGCTCACCAGGTCACTCGACCTATGCTCACCACGTGAAAACTTACCGTACACTCACAACACTCTGAAACTCCAATCACGTGATTCCAAATGTCTACGAACTGAAGAATGTGTTGATTGGGATTTGATCTCATGAGGCCGCGACTGAACCACGATCACCTGATCATGTTCAATCGATGTCAATGAAAATAAATCTTCAATGACAAGAGGACGTCAAGATGTCAGTCACTTGACTGACGATCCTCTAACGTTGTCAGTCACCTGACTGATCACTGAGGTTCTGGCCAGAAGGAAAACAACACCCTTCTATCCCCGTTCCAAAATTGTGCTCACTTGAGCCTAACCGAGACATACGAATCAATATGATCTCATGCCTCCACATTGACATCTCAATTCATATCACGAAAACTCACTCGAGTTCACTTAAAAGTAAAAATTTCACACATGAAAAATGACTGTCAGATGCACCTGCTCTGTTGTGTGAAGAATGAATTGATATGCTGATGCGAACAACCCCCGGAGAAAAATCAGCTTGTTTTCAAAGCTCAGACTTGCTTCGAAGTGAGAGCTGCTCGAGGATTGGCACGATGTAGCCCGGAAAATTGTCGAAGGTGAGCAGGCGAGGCCCAAAAACTCACGAAAATTGTAAAACCCATAGTTGCAGAAGTCAAAATTCCAGTGTACCAGATCAACATGAGATGGGATGGGTGCCCTTTGAGAAGCTGCTATGTGCGCTCGGGTGCAAGATCTTCTGGGCGAAGAAGAAGGTTGAATGGCCCAGCCATCACCGGATCACGGCTCGCAATCCACTCCATGATGCGGCCAGTGAACTCCCGGTTCTCTTCAAAGCGACGAAGAAGATCGTCGTGATCCTGCCGCAACTGCGCCAAGCCGCGCTGCAAACCTCCGATGGTGTCCACCAAATCAGCTGTATCGAAAAAGTGGATAGTGATGAAAGTTTGCAACCTGTGCTCCTCCTCGATGTTCCCATCGTCAATCATGTTGATTGCATCATCCGCGATGGTGCGGTAAATGTCCTGATACGCCTCAAAGTTGAAGATGATGAGGTGGAATTGGGTGACCTCTCGCAAATCCTCATCCCAGGCTGCCCACAACGTTGTCAAATCGGCCAGTGGGGGCAGTTGATTTCGCGTGTGCGATGTCTGGATGAGGTAACAAAAACTGTTCAGTTCACAATCGATGGTGTCGAGTCCCAGTCAAGGCAGTGTGGCGCCGATGGTCTGATTAGGACGGTCGCCCTGAAACCAAATCGGGATGCGCTTGGTCAGTGGGACCAAGGCATCGAAGAAGCCAGCGTCATGCGGCTCTTGCCAGTCGGGTGTCATGGCGACAGGACCCAGTCGAAGTGAACGAAAATGAAAATGTCAGGTCATGAACATGAGTATGTATCACATTGAGTGTGATGATCATTAATCAAGTAAAATGACTTGATGATAATGTCACTCATGTCATGACTCGTCTCATGTTCTCCCTGCAGCACTTGCTGCTGTCTCACTTGAGACTAAAAAGGATACGTCGGATCAACATGGTTTGACATCACACAACTACATGACGAAATGCCCCATGCCCGCGAACTCATGTATACGTATATGAACTCCGTATACATTCGTTGGTAGTAGGTATTTCCATAAAAATCTATCATGATTCTCATGAGAGTATTCATAAAACACCCAAACACTCGCAAACTCAAAACATCCGAACCCTCCGACATGTGCAACTGTCGGTACGCTGAAATCACGAGAGACCCTTTCCTGTTTTCCATTGCCAGTTAAGATGTGATAGCTTCACATCAGAAGTCAGTTGGATCGATGGAACATTTCACCCATCGAACTCGTAAACCATTTCGGTTTTTGAGGTTGGCTAGTCTCATATATGAGACAGCCCTTGAAATTGTGTGAAACACGGCGAAGCTTTCGCAAGAGCTGGTGTTCAACGCAGTTGAAAGCAAGCAGAAAAAGTAAAATAAACGGCCAGATGCAAGATCACACACAACCGTTAGAGTGAACACCCTTGAGAAAAGGTCAACGGCTGGAATGCACGGATGCTGGGCTGTGGAAAAACAGCTGGTATATCTCGGATAATCGCAACTGAAATCGGATGCATACACGGATGCACAATGAGTGAAAACAACTCGGCCAATTTGTAGTCAAATGGACTACACGCAGAGAATGAAATACCACCCTTGCTGTACAGGATATATGATCGTAAATTGGAGAAGTCGAAGATGAAGCAACAGCGGAAACAACAAATGATAGTCGGGATAATAACCAAAGTGGGGAAAGAACATGAGATCATAAACCCATAGCAACAAGGAGTGGGAGGATGGGTTTCTGAAAATAACTTGAATGCCTACTTGAGCGAAAATGTAATGAAGCATTACATTGATTAAAACACAAACGAAACAAGCACGTTAAGAGTTCTAACAAGTAAGCATTCATTGGCTACAGATTTGAGGAAGCGAGCAATTCACTGACATACAAACTGACTAAATATATATATATATATATATAAAGACAAAAAACATAAATACCAAAACCAACAGTAAAACACAACCAAAACTAGGAAACAAACTGAACCTAAATAAAACATCCAAACCCTCGCAAACTCAAAACATCTGAACCCTCCGACATGTGCAACTGTCGGTACGCTGAAATCACGAGAGACCCTTTCCTGTTTTCCATTGCCAGTTAAGATGTGATAGCTTCACATCGGAAATCAGTTGGATCGATGGAACATTCCAAATTAAACTATCGAACCAAGGACTTCATGAACGCCCTATAAGCCCCCTCTGAAATTGTCTGAAGGAAGGACTGACACTGAGAAAAAACGGTCAAAATCGCGAAACCGGAAGTTTGCACGCCACTTTAGATCCCTTTGTGAATGCTGTCGGTGTGTGAAATGGAAACCAAATCTCAGAGAGAGGCAACGGATGCGTTCGGATGCTTGCAAATCTGGAGGCAGGCGGGAAATTCTGTCAGCAAGGTCATTGGAATGCCCCGCGATGTGGCTGACATCAAGTTCGGCATGAACTGCAGAAATCAACATACACAATCGTTCCACAAAATCGCACAACGTGGATTTGGTGGTAAATTGAAAAAGAATTGGCTTCTGCAGCAGTGTTGTCGCTCAGGCTTTTCAAAGTGATTGAGAATCGCTGATCTGGAAGTAAATGGCAGAGAGAATACAGTAAACATAATTGTGCTAATGTCTCACAGCCCGAGAAACGTAAAAAGCCCCCAACTTGACAGCGATCACCATGGGCACAGGTCTCAGCTTGCCGCCTATGGCAATTTGGGATTCATGGAAACAAAAGCTGTTGCTGGGGGGAGCCCTTGTAAACCCACCCAAGCACCTTCTTCAGCTGCGCAAAACGCATCAACGTGAATAAGCGGCCTCGAACAGTTCAAATTCCAGTTGCAGCTGTTGCAGGTGAAATCAGCTACAACTTCAAATAAACGTTTCAACCGATTTTGCCACAATGAAGGGGCCAAAACTGGACTCTCCAGGGGGGACCACTTTTGATTTCAAGGGGGTCCACTTTCTGACCCCTTTTTAAAACACGTTTCCTTTGTATGCGGGTCCAAAACGGTGCCTCCTTTGGAGGTCCGGTTTTACACCCACCCAAGCACCTTCTTCAGCTGCGCGAAATGCATCAACGTCACACAAAGCAACACTGAGTTGGCAATAAGCGGCCTCGAACAAGGGAGGCCCAACTCCGTCTCCAATACTCATATTAATTTGGAGTGCAAAAACGAACACAAAACTAGCTCTATGTACCTGCTTATATTGATCATGACAATCTTTCCCTTTCTGTTGTGTTGATGAAAGAGGTACCGTACTCCCAAAGCCTGCAATCGAGGCGCTTTGAGGCTCGGCGAGGCCTGGCCGAGGCCACGCCTTGGACGGGACAAAGCGAGGCTCACGGGACTCGAAACTATACACTCTCGCAGTGTCGGTGAATCAGTCCCCTGAAAGCTGACCACACGTTGGTCTTGTTCAAGCCATAGTTGACATTAAAGCCATGGTTTGGCAATCTGCTCATCAATTTTCATCATTGTGGTGCAGCACATCACGAACGGTGCAAATGATATACATCATGATCACATGAAACACTGCATCGGCCAAGGGGAAACGGTCGAGTTCTTCTTGTGGCACAATGAGCCACGTACAGCATGCGTGGTTTCCGCTCGGTGTGGTATTGCTTCGATTACTCACAGAGTTCGTGTATGGCGGTTTTTGTGTTTTGCTCCTCGTTTTCGTTTCTGATTCATCCGCCATTCCAATCCCTAGTATGATAGAAGGTTATCACCCTTCTGTCAGATACTGACGTTGCGAACTGACCATCCGTTCACTTTGCCCTGTTTTTGTTTGGTTTTTTGCTTGGGCATTTTTGGTGTGGTTCTTGTTTTGTTTGTTTGCTGTTCTTGTTTGTTTCTTGTTGTTTTTTCCACCGGCTTAAACGGCTAATTGGACTATGTACTGGTCCTGTGTCAATCATTCTTTTGTAGCCCCTTCTATGAAGATGGATACGTTTATTTAATTAAATAATTCACTGACATGCAACATGCTGGAGAACGACCTGGCGAAAGCTTACAGGCGTTGGACGGAAAAAAAAGAATTGCTGTGCCAACTGGTCTGACTGTAAATTGAAGGCTGTCTGACAAGCAGGCTATTATTGTTAATCAGTATCCAGGGTCCACCGAGAAAAGGGTGGCTGGTGCCTTATAGAAGTTAGCATGAGATGAGAACGAAAGCTCTCATAACAGGAAAAATCTGAGTTACCCAAGTAGGAGACCCACGAATTTCAATCTGTTTCTTGGATGTCTTTGACGCTGTAATAACTCCGCAGTGAGTTTCAGAAGTTTATCACGTTTGGTCAGTCGCAGTCGTATGATACCAGTCAAAAAATTCAAAGTCCAGCCAATCCAGCTAATCTCACGATCCAACTCGCTTTGCGCCAGCTGATGGGGAGTCGAAAAGCTTGAATAAATAGTATCACCAAAGCCACGGTGATAGGTAGGATGTCCAAGCGTTGAATGAACAAGCTACAGAGGAGGCCCGCACATGCGAACCTGATTTCAACTGACTTTCCGACCCAAAAAATTGAACCTGAAAGCGCACATGTGGTATCAGCTGTCTTCGTTCCCTAGCTCCAATGTGGCGGTTTGCGATGCAGCACCACCCAGGAAACATTCACCAATCCTTCGCTACTCCGCGCTACTCCGCTACTCCGTGCTATGTTTTAATTCAATTGCCCAATGTAATTGACACGATATCGAAACGTTTGTGGAGTAAGAAAGCCTTCAATACGTCACCTTGCCACATATTTTCCTAAGCAGATTCCTACTCCATCCCGTTTTAAATTTTTACTATTAATTGATAACGGGATTGACTGAAAAGATCATGATTCATGTTCTTTCTCGGCTGAAAACTTCGGTAGGAGTCTAGAGGGGCAAGGGGGGCCAACAAGGGGCAGTAGAGTATTCAATACAATCATTTAAATGGAAGCCGGCCACCTGCGCGAAAACCCAAACTCCGCAACAGCAAGAAACACCTCAAGCAATCACCTAAGGGCTGCAAAAGGCTGATGAGCCTTCTTTTAGCGGCAAACAATCAAGCCACCAGACGCAACGAAATAATAAGAAGCTAACTTCAAGTGGGTTCAAGCAGCAACCGATATGCACCCCGCTTGCCCCAACAAGAAACAAAATCATCTACAAAACAGCTTGCTCCGACGGACCCAATTCTGGGTCCGGAAAACCTTCTCAAAACCGGCTTCGCTCAAAAGGGCCTCCCCAGTTGCCCTTCCGGTCGCCATAAGCCACAAAGTTTCATTGAAACCAAAACTTTGCGCTTCTGCAACCCTGATACAAAAACTTCAAAAAATGAACCAAAACACGGTCCCAAAAATGGGACCGCCTGGCGGTCCCATTTTTGGGACCGCATGCACAGCTTAGTAAAAGAACAAAAGAAAAGCACTTTCACGGTCCCATTTTTGGGACCGTCAGGCGGTACCAAAAATGAGACCGCAAAATCGCAAAATCCCCAGCAAAGGCCGACCCTTGCAACAAACAAAGAATTACAACTGCATTTATTTAAGCAACCAGCATATAGATTTGGAACAGAGGAGGCCCGCACATGCGAAGCCTGATTTCAATTCACTTCCCAGCCCCAGAAATGGAATCTGAAAGCGCACATGTGGTATCAGCTGTTTCCGTTCCCTAGCTCCAATGTGGCGATTTGCGATGCAGCACCACCCAGGCAACATTCACCAATTCTTCACTACTCCGCGCTACTCCGCTACTCCGTGCTATGTTTTAATTCA